CAAGCCACAAAGTGGGAGAAATCCCACTCCTCCGGGGCTTCCGAGGTGCTCTCCACACCAGGAAACTCAGCTCCTGCATCCGACAGCCCTGTTTTGAGAGAAAAAGATGCCATTCTTTAAGGAGGGCACGAAAACGCTTGGACTTTATCATTGCAATCTAAGCAGAGAGGTATAGAAATAGGGATAATCGAGAAAATCTTTATTTGGGCTCTGGAAAGGAAATGGGTGTGGATTTTTAGAAGATAGGGTATTTATCAGAAACAGGGTTCTGCAGCATCACCGAAACTCTGGAGCTCCTGGCAGCTCCAGATTTTATGTGAATGGTATTAATCACCAGGATAACTTGATACGATAGCTAGACATTTGCTAAAATAATAATAAAAAAAAACCCAACCCCAAATCACTAAACTCATTCTAAAAGTTGGGCTTTGAAGCCTTACGTACCCTTTTGCAGGGTTTTACCCTCGCGTTGTTATTTCAAAATTTCAGCTTTAAAAAAAAAAAAAAAAACTAAAACAACACTGAGAGGAAGAAAATAATTTGGTCGGTTTGGGATTACTGATATCAGCTTTTTTGTGGGACCAGATGATCACAATGATTAACACTTCGTTTGCAGGGTTTTACCCTCGCATTGTTATTTCAAAATTTCAGCTTAAAAAAAAAAAAACTAAAACAACACTGAGAGGAAGAAAATAATTTGGTCGGTTTGGGATTACTGATATCAGCTTTTTTGTGGGACCAGATGATCACAATGATTAACACTTCTCGCATCCTAAATTTTATCAGCGGCGTTGCTCCTGCTTTCAGGAATGATAGTGTGGGATAGAATTTTTGGAGAGGTTACAGATTTACAGATTTTGGTTGCCAACACGAGCCACTTTTAGGACCATTTTAGGGACTCCATGTGATGAGAAACTGCAGTGACTCTGTATCAGTGATACCACTGACACAGAAGCATTACTAACTGTGTGGGACCTTAAAAAATAGAATATATGTATAAAGAAGAAAAAGTAGCCTACGATGGGATTTAAATATCATTGAGTAAAGTACTTAGAAATAAAAATGCTGCTTTTTCTGGGGATCTCGCATCCTAAATTTTATCAGCGGCGTTGCTCCTGCTTTCAGGAATGATAGTGTGGGATAGAATTTTTGGAGAGGTTACAGATTTACAGATTTTGGTTGCCAACACGAGCCACTTTTAGGACCATTTTAGGGACTCCATGTGATGAGAAACTGCAGTGACTCTGTATCAGTGATACCACTGACACAGAAGCATTACTAACTGTGTGGGACCTTAAAAAATAGAATATATGTATAAAGAAGAAAAAGTAGCCTACGATGGGATTTAAATATCATTGAGTAAAGTACTTAGAAATAAAAATGCTGCTTTTTCTGGGGAAAAAAAAAAAGGTTAAACTCTTCCAACTTAGTAAACTATTCAGCATATTGAAACCCCAAAACACAATATATATTTGCATGACTCGGGTCTTTCTTGCTTATTTTTTGTGTATCGATGCACTTTATATCCCTTCTCCTCGGTGCTGAGCGATCCTGAAAGGGGCTGTGAGCTCCAGGACTCCCAGAGAAATTCAGGGATCCCAAGAAAAGTTTATCTGCAACTTTAAGTGTAGAAACTTCAGTGTTTTCCTTGAATTCTGTCAGTTTAAGGCGTGTGGATGGGAGCTTTGGTGAATCAGCCTTTGCCCTGTTCTTTCTGAAAGCACTTCAGTATCACTGAAATATATTACGGTTTTATTCTGCAACTTGGAAAAACTGCTTATTTGTAAAAATTCCTTAACCAGAACTGCCTAAAAAAGACAATAAGTGGCGACAGTGAGCACGGGTAATAGGGACAAAACTGCTTCATTTTACAATCTCATTTTTAGAGGAAATGTTGTAGATAAGGGCAATTGCATTTTCTCTGTTACCTAGAACAGCGTTGTCTTGTTCACATTATTGGTATCAGTTAATCAACGCTCCTATCACTGACTGGATCTCTAGACACATTGAAATTGCCTTATTATTTGAATATAAATAAGTCCATTTTCTCATTTCAGTAGGTATAAGCAATCAGACACATTTTAAATATGCACTTTGAGAGGTTGAAGACTGCTTTAAATAATGTATTGGTTTTCTTACGATATTTTAGCGCTTCGAAGTGATAAGGGAAGTTAAGTGATATTCTCTGGACTGCAATAAGTTACATGTAGAAATCTGTGGGCTGTAACGGCAATCAGTTAACGACAGCTTCTCTGTGACTCAATCGATGCCTTCATTAACACACAGTTCTTAATAAATAAATAGAATAGGTATAAACTCCCATGGGGTCCCGTTATACGGAGCCGTGTAGGTTCAGAACGTTCCGATGACCCTCCTCACTACTTCAAGCAGGAAATTAACTTGAGTTGCCAAGTTTCCAGAAGTTCTGTGGTGACAGAAGGTGATATTACAAGCCCTGGGTGAAAGCGGTGCCTTGGCCGGAGTTGGGAATTAGTCTTGAAGACAAAACCCCACGAATTGGAGCATACCGTCAAAATACCGATAATTTTAAAGTCTCTCCTTCAAGTGGGGGAGTTAGACTTTTGCTAGTTTGACTTAAGGCCCTGTTGTTGCTTCAGTTAAAGATATCGATGTTTTTTTACTCGGAGCTCTTTAAGTGTTGGTGGTGAAGGTGCCTATTGAGCCTGTAATTAAGCAGAGGCAACTGAGCACGTTGACGAGAGAGATGTACGAAGCCAAATCCTACACAGAGGTGGTTCCAGGGAAGACAGGCTGATAATTCCTTCACACAGCACCCGAGTGTGTCCCGGCAGAGGTGGTGTTGGCCACCCCTACCTCAGATTGTGAGCATCTAACACTCCATGTGGACATTAAATCCAAAGGATGCTCCCTTTTCCACCCATTCTACCAGTCACGCGCTCCTGGCTCTCCTCTCTGCGGCACCTCTGCACACCTCAGCTCCAACACAGGGTGGCTTTTTGGACCATGACTGTTAATTTTTAGCCCTTTTTTAGCCATTTGTAGTTGTACAAACAGAAACAAGTGTGATGAGACCACAAACAGCCCTTTTTAATGCAGAAGGGCTACGTTCCTCACACCTTCTGTGCCTCAAATACTCATTTTTTAAAACTTTAAAACCAGCTACTCATAAAAAATACTAGTTTTGGCACGATTAACAATCTTAAGGATGATGATGTAGAAATGTAAAAGGAAGATTTTATCCTAATTCTACCACTGTAATGCCTCTGTTGTAGGAGTGTGGTGTAAAAGTAGCCTGTAGGGTTAGAATTACACCCACAGACTGCCCGACTGTGATTTCCTGGTCTTGCACTATTGAAGGAGTTTGAGTTTTCTTGAGTGTTCTTGAGATATTAGACAATTGTTCCACTCAGTCTGGTTTCCATTGACATGCACCATCCAGAACATTGTATTAATTTAAAAAACCATAAAAGTTTGGTGCCCAATTGACATATTTTCTCACAATACATAAAGGGAGATTCTCACCTGCGGTGAGTTTTGTTGACGGTGAGTTTTGTTGACCAGACAAGGATTATGCCCATCAATAATGATTGGAGAAATGGGTCTGACCAATGGTGTTGCTTCAACCTACTCTTGTAGGCTGCTTTGCAGGAATTACACGTATTTTTATGCAGATTGATGTATATTTGAAAGAAAAAATACGTTCTGTGCATTTGTAGTTTCATGCTACTGAACATGAGAGTGAGTAACTCCGAACAGATGAAGTACTATGATGGCTTTAATTACAAAGTTATTGCCATATGTGATAAAAGAAAGGTACAACTTTTCATTCTTACCAGGTGTATTCTATTATTTTTACCTAAAATGTTGTTTCTTCTAAGAAAACTGAAATTGAAGAAGTGTTACTGTGGAAAAATACTCAAAAGCCAGGATAATGCTCAGTTAGCGATGGTCCGTTTTGGCCAGCCCCAAAATGCCATATGGTGTCCCTACTTGGATACGTTGCACGAAGATCTTTTTATAAAGACAATTTTATGTAATCTGGGTGGAATTTATTCCTTAGCTAAAGGAAAACACAGATGTTCAAGTGTATGAAATTGCAAGGGAGGTGTTGCGGAGATGTGGAGACAAATAACTCCAGGACTTTT